AGTACCCCTGGAGTAATGGAACAGTAGAATCAGATGACAAAAACCTTGCAACCAAATGGCCATCACTTTGTCCACATGCGGAATGAATTGAAGCACAAACGACATGAACTTGCCAATCTCTGTAATAAGAACATGTGCTGACCGAATCTCCTTTGCGGAGAATTGTTTGGAAGCAAGGCTGTGTGCAATTCAGACAACTTGAAAAGCTGCCGCTGCAATGCACGTAGAAAGACTCTTGATGCCCATCCTAGATGCAAAGGTCGCCGAGATCCCGAATTTGACTGCAAGTTCTTGCAGTTTGGCTTTCTCCTTGCCTCCATAGTTGATCTGCACAAGCTTGGAGACAGACACAATGTGCTCTTGAAATTCTGCAAAACGCTTGCCTAGGGGTCGTTTGAAACTCTGGAACCCACTTGTCGACGTCCCCCTCTCCTGATCCCTTTAGTCGGGCTTTGTGATCGTTCAAGGCTTCAGCAGGAACACTGTCGATCTTACTCTTGAGGTCATTCTCCCAAGTCTTCGGTGGTGTCCCGGATTGTAGACAAGGAGCACTAGATTGCGAAGCAACCGGGAGCTGTGTTTTCGAAGCGGATTTCGTAGGGGTAACAGGAAGTCCTGCGGCTTGCAACTGTTCACGACGGCGGTTGAGCTCTTCCGAAACTTGAAGGAACTTCTGAGATTGGTCAACGCCTGTGGGCACCGGCATGTTGTCAAACATGAGCTGAACGATCTTGTCAACCAGCGGCTGAAACAGGACTGCACAATCTGTGTTCTTGTTGGGAATGATTGTAGATGGATTAGCGGCCTGAAAAAGTTGCGTAGCAACTGCATCGATGTCAACTTTGCGATCCCGAAGGTTCTTCGTCACTTGCGACATGAACACTGCTTCAGCAACTGTAGCAACTGGCACAACACTGAAAAACTTGCCATGACTTAATGCTCGAAGACGCCAATCTGAAACTCCATGGAACAGGAATTCCTGAACAGGAATGCTGAGTGGATCTTTTCCTGCGATCCCTTTCTTTCGCGACCACGGGGTGGCTTCGATGTACTTACGAAAAGACAACCCATGAAGCACTGTTGAGTCATAATGATCACGATCTGACGCCCATCCATTCGGTAGTGCAGGAGCAAGACCAGGACCTTGATGAAGTGGCATGGGAGTAGACGGCGATGATGAAGGTGCCGAAGGAAGTGGAGGCGGAGGTAGGGGAGGTGGCTGACTAGCAGGAGCAGAATTGGAGAGGTTGGGATCATTCCAACTTCCCGAGCTATACGGCTGATAGCGATGCTGACCCCACGATTGTTGGGATCTCCCGTACCCTGTGTTGGTGTCCCACTGTCCATTCCATGCCATGGTTTCAGAACTAGCGACAAAGCTAAGTCCACGGGATCGCTAAGGACACTTCGAATCAAAGAGCTCCGTAGTTGAACAAACCTGCTCAAGTTGTTCTCAAACTGCAGCACTTGCACATCGCTTGCACAACTCTTGCACCACACTTGCTCCTCTCTTGCACCTCTGACGCACACCCTTGCACTACCGCTGAAACTTCACTTGCAGCACACTTGCATATCTCTTGCTGGCACATCTCACAATCTTAGCTGGCATGTTTTCGACACGTGTATGCGTACATAGCAATTGACAACGGAAGAGACTTGAGAACGCGGCTGGTCAAAGCAACATACGGCACTCAGACCTTCCAAAAGACAAGAAGCGCTTCCGGGATGAAACATGAGGAGCGAAAGACCCATCTGCCATCTTTGGCACGGGCAACGTCACGAATGTAACTGCAGGAATGGTCACCCTCAACTCCTCCCATGGGGATCCTTGAATGGGGAGGCGTGAGGGACCCTTGACGATTAAATGCAGATCCGAAAATGCACACCGGACGCTCACTCAGAATGCCACCGTACTTGGACGCCGCCTCTTGTGCTTGTTCTGCATCTGAAGTATGAGCCCTAGCATAGAAGGAAACTGGTGGGGACCACATGCTGTCACGAGCATCCCAATACGATGGTCGAATCGTTCCCTCAAGGAGGATAGAGGCAGCCCCGGCCACTGTTGTGTTGTGTGCAACAGGCAAACGAGCAATCCCTGCTGCAGAAGTATGCGACCTGACCATGGTCCTCTCAAAGTGGGTGAAGTGGATGCTCAAGCACTTGCACGAACTCGACAAAGAACGAAGCTCGACAGAGTGAATGTTTGCAGCTTGGTCGGCTGCAGCAATTGCCTGAGAGACATACTTCAATGCCGTCGAGTTGACAAACTGGGAAGGAAGACCTAACAGGCTCATCAGATAGTCTGCAGTGCTTTGCATCAAAGAGCTGGGAACCTGCAACTCAAGATTGGCCTGTATCTTTCTCGAAATCTCACATGCCGATTTCATGCGGCCAGGGCTGGAACTGATCAAGTGACGTAGAGCAGTAAACCTGGGGTATAATGCGACCCAATTGAAGCTGGCTGAGTACACTTGTATCAGCTTCGCTTCTTCATCACGCACTTCCAACCCACGAAGTTCAGGAATCACGAAGAAGTTTGAATCTTGCTCCCACTCAACTTCCACATGCCCTTTGAGAAGAGATCGATTCTCAAAATGCTCGTACGAATCTTGCAAGGGTTTAACTCGAAAGACGTAAGTCTGGTCCGCACTGAGCTGCCACCCTACACGATCAGCATGAGTACCAGGAATCTTATCGCAAATTGCACGAAGTCGAATGCTGTTAGGATCTGCGACAAGAGAAACTCCGCTTCCATGGACTTGCCGAAGTCGCTTTGAGGGCTGGGAAGAGTCATCCGTTTGATATGTGAGGGCTGACTGCTGGCTCTGACCAGATGCTGCTGACTGATTCTGTTGAGAAACAACAGTCTGCTGAATGTCGAGCAAATTGTTAAGGCCAGCATACACATCTCTGTGGCCTCGGACATGAGTCAAGTTTGCCGACATGATTGCTGAGTATTCAGCAAAATCGGCCACCGAACGAAACGACAAACGGAAACCTGCGCCATCTGCATGAAGAGTGATTGCTGGTGGAACCTCTTGCTGTGGAACAGGCCGATCATTTACAGCACGTGCAGCAATCAAGGTAGGAGCTACATCTGCTGTTCCCAAACCAACATTGGATGCAGAAGAGATCGGCAAAGAAGAAGACGGAGCTGGCGTCGGGCAAACTGCAGGAGTGGGGGGTGGGGGAGGGAAGGCGGGAGGGGGAAGGGGAGGGGGGGGTGGAATCCACTTCGGCGTGGTGCCACGGGAGGGGGGAGGGGCAGAAGTGGGGAGGGGAGGGGGGGGCAAAGGGGGAAGGGGAGAGGAGGAGGGTGGAGGGAGAGGTGGGGGAGGAGGGGGGGAATTGATGTGCGGGTACTGCGTCTCTTTCCTGAGGCATCCATGGCAAACTGATCAGCAACTACCAAAAGTACAGCTCATGTACTCAACTTGTAGCCGAAGACCTGCGACAAGTCAGCGGTGAAGTCAGATTCGGGAAAGTCAATCAGATCATAGAAAGTCAGTGGGAAAGTCAGCATTCAGGTTTCGGTAAAGGCATTTGGTAAAGACTCACTGAGAAAGTCAGCTTGCAAGCACGGATATAGAATCAGGGAAAGTCATCCAATGCTTATACAGTCAATCGGGAAAGTCAGCGCCAGAGCTACCTCTGGGAGACACGGCGCCCATAGGGAATGCCGTTGTGAAGCACACTTGACACATCGTGTCGCAGGTCTGATCTGTCGGTGCATACTGTCAGGGAAAGTCAGCAGCTGTCAGGGAAAGTCAGAGGCTGCACGGGAAAGTCAGAACATGCAATCTGAAGTACTACCATAGGACAAACACGAATCACTCATGTAAGACTGACATGTGCAGACCCTCACTCATGACTGTCGCATTCACAGGCAAACTCTTGAACAGAAACTGAGCAAGAAACTGACCAATGCAAGCCCTCACTCATGACTGTCGCATTCACAGATAAGCTCTCAAGCTGCCACATGCGTGACCCATGAGCAGCTTTGTGCAGGTACAGGTTCACACGTCTGTGAGCCCATCCAGTCAACATCCATAGCTTCGTTGGCGTGGCTAGGATGCGACTGCCACGCCCCCTGCTGCTTAACTCACTCACATCTCTTGGAAACAGAGTTGGACACACACACACACACACACACATGGGTGGTTGTCAAAATGAGGGTCCCCTTTTTGGGTCCTTAATTTTGTAGGGCACCTATTATTTAGGGTACCCCAAAAGGGGCCTTAACTTTGACAACTACCCACATCTGCCCCAATCCGAAATTTGGCATTTGGGGCGCTCTGAACCTGGGCAACCCTGAGGCAAGTCACAGTATCCGGGACTCGAAACAGCTGAGATCCAACAACAAGCACTACTTGCTACAAGTTCCGGCACTTCACACACTCAAGTTTGAAATCTCTTGTCCAAGATGACCCTCCAACCTGAACCCGATTGCAAGCAAGAGATGACGGCCTTTGCGCTTTGTCTCTTTGAGCTCGCTGCCCTCGAAGAGATAACGCTGAATCTGTGGCCACCTTAAGCGCCCCAGATCTCTGCACGGTTTAGGGCCGTCCCAAGTAGATCAGGAAAACGTCTGGTGAGCTTGAGTAAGTGCTAGGCAAGGCTTCTAGGCTCTCGGAACGGACTTCACCCACGACACCGGTCAAGCAGCTCCAGCAGTGCAAATAGGCTGTGAGTAGCAAACTACGGAGAACATCCGCTGCTTAGGCAAGCCGCACGCTTTGACATTCCCATTCGACTTGCGTCGCCCAAGCAGCACTCTCAAAAACATAGCTACAACTGCGCTGTTGTTGCACTCATTCAACCCGGCAAAGGCTGTGATTACTGCTGGGGTTGTGTAGAGCTGCAGTTCCGGCCTTCTCGTCCGGGGACCACACGGTCAATTGCATGCACAGCGTTTGATCTATTATCGAACTACTGTACCTCATCCCAGCTGCCAACTCCATTTGGTACAGCACGGTGCGAACCTTCCAAGCTTAATGACTTCACAGCGGCTCCAGCCACACCCAGGCGTGGATGTACTTGAGCTTGCGCTTGCCATCCTAACGGGCTTACAAGCAACTGTTTTCCGCAACGGGCTCCAACAGCATGCACGTCTAGTAGCTGAGGGATACCTACGTACAATCTTTATGCCTCCAATAACAGGGCAGTGCTGGACGTACATCCCTGGAGAGTCTTGCGATGTGCCCTGGCATGCCAAGCTTTGACACGAAGGTTCGAGCTGACCATTAAACGTGCCAAGTACAGCTGGAACCTGTAAGGGAGTTTCCGAAAATAGGGGACCCTAATATAATCCCCTAAATAGTAGGGTCCTTATCATGAGGTTCCCAAAACAAGGTACCCCAAATTCTCGGAAACTCCCATAGTGGCAAGCCTGAAGTAACCGGCCTTGTCCGGATGCTCGAACTCCAGCGTGTTCAGATCCGTCAATGGCAAACCCGTACATACGATGTCCACCGTGTAGAGATGGTACATGGTTAGCAGTCCTCTGGCTCTCGCGGCTTGAGGCAAGGATGCATTGACAGGTGCGGGAATCAGCTCTTGAGCATGCTTCCTCGCAATCCCAAAGTCCTGGATAGCTTTTGGACTTCTCCAGCTCAATGATGTGGTCCACAAAGTGTTCGTTGACCACCTGCAGCAAGGGGTATTACAGATGCCCAAGCCTTCAGGCAGGGCTCCGTGACGTCGCTGGCTTCTTTGCGGCTCTTGACACCCTTCTCGTCACCTCGAGGGGGCAGGTGTAGTTTGGGTCGTACTCCGGCGCGGGTCTTCCCAACCCGATCTTCATGGTCCTGAGCAAGCGACTCTTGCGAGTTCTGATGCTGGGGGGGGGTGAGCTGCCTGCAAAAGCTCCGGGTTGTGGATCAACCACGGGATCTATGCTCTATCGCACTATCGATGGCCACAACCTGCCTTCACTTAAGCTTCCACTCTTCCTTGCGAAAACCGGAGGCAGCCAAAGGCGAATTCGGAGGCAGGTTGTGCACGTTGACTTGCCCTGGCAGACCGAGGATCGACTCCACCACCCGCTGCATCTCTTCCTCGGTAACAGCACGCCGGCACACCTCGGAGGCGATGTTGGCGGTTCAAACTTGGACCCTGAATCCATAAAGCCCACAACGCCACATCCTCGATACTGCGTCAACCTGACAACCCTGGCGCTATCTTCAGCTTTCTTTGTACCCTATCTTCCACGAGTGCGGACGGGGTCAATTCCAAAACTGCCGGGCCGTGGCAGGGGGCATCTGCAGCTTTTTCGAGAGAGAGGGCATGTTCCGGCAGGTAGGCTTCCAGTTGTCAGTGGCCTGGCTTTGAGGCCAAAAGCCCCGTCGAACAAGCGATTCGAGATATGAGTCTTGAAAGACGCCCGGGTCACTCTGTGCCCAGATCGAGATCCTATGGAAGACCTGGCGCCTGAATGCGCCGGTATCAGCACATCACACCCTGAAGGGATGCCGATACCATGAGCCACGATGCGTGCATGGCGAACCTAGGGAGATCTTCATCCTTGCACTGTGGCTATGTATTGGCTCAGCCGCACAATGTACTCATAGAACGGCCGCATAAGAAGCAAAGTCGGGCGTGCCCCAAGCCACCAGCGACTGGCCAGGTAGAACGGCGAGGAAGCCACTGCGCACTGCATGGATCTGCCGCACCTCTCGCAACTGGTCCTGGACAGCTGTGCTGTCACCGCCAGCACGGCTATCACCCCATGTTACGACCGATCCATCATTCAACAAAGCTGCGAAGGCGGAACCGGAAGCATGGACTTGCTGCACGTTCTTGAGCCTTTTCCGGACATGTGAGCTGTCTCCGCCAGCTTGGGAGCAGCCCCAAGTCACAACCGACCCATCGTCCCGCAGGGCCGCAAAGGCATTGGCAGCTGAGGTCCCTGCCACTTGATGCACGTTCTTCAGCAAACGCTGCACTCCTTTACGGGCACGACAGCTTTGGTCGCCCCATGACACAACAGATCCGTCCTCAAGCAATGCTGCAAATGCTGCCTCGGAAGGATAGATTTCTTTCACACCCCCTTTGAGTTGTGCAGAGACTTTGCTGGAGTCTCCACCGGCAGTGCGCCATCCCCAGGTCACGACCGAGCCATCGCCGCAAAGGGCAGCGAATGCGTAGGAATTCGCTGCCACCTGGCGCACGCCGCTAGGCCTGAGCCTTAGCTGATCCTGGATGTCGCTGCTTGAGCAGTCGTCCACTGTGCCCCAGCTGAGCACGCAGCCATCCGCAGTCAATGCTGCGAAAGCAAAGCCGGTGCTTACTATCTGCTGCACATCCTTCAGCTGGGCTTGGACGGAAGAACTGTCACCGCCAGTTTGAGTCAAGCCCCAGGTGACAACAGAGCCATCGCCCATCAAAGCAGCAAAGGAAAAGGCCGAAGCTATGAGTTCCCGAACGCCCGACAGTTTCGGAGCCGGCATGTTCTCCAGGCCCAGGGGGCCCCACACTTCCACGGAGCCATCCTCTGTAACGGCAGCCAGTGCTGAACCAGCCGCAGCCACCTGCTTGACATTCCTCAGTCGCTCCCGTACCGCCCAGCTTTTTTTTCCGTGGGAGGTGTCTCCCCATGTCACGACAGATCCATCATACATGATGCAAGCCCAACAGTAGGAGCCCTCAACGAGTTGCAAAGGCCTCGTCTGGAGAGTCAGCACATCACCGTCACAGAGCTGGGCCTGTCTCACTGTCCCTGCAGAAAGGCTCTCCCCTGCGCTGGTCCACAACTTGCCTCTGCTTCCAAGTTGGCCCTGTGCCAGGCGCTGGAGCTCAGAAACAGAGCTCTCGGGTGCCACTTCCACCAACGTCCTCCTCCCACTCAACAAACAAACTTCAATACAAAGTGTAGCCATGCAGTCTTGATGTGGTCTGAAGAGAGGGGTGTTCTGGCATTTCGGGCCGACTGTCACATCTTTCGGACAGGCTATACACCCGTTCACCAGCGCCTGCACTACACCTGCGAGGTCGTGCCGTGAATGGAGCCGAAATGGAGTTGTCGACGAAAACAGCAGCTGTCATCTGAAAGACCACAGCAAACTCACCCGACAGCTAATGGCTAACCAGCGAATAAATCGAACAAGGGGTTCTGTCGGAAACACGCTTTGTGGGAGCGGACCTCGACACTTCAGGGAGTGTTTCAGCCTTGAAGATCCACGTGCAAATCACTTCCGATCCATTTGACCAAGGTGCCTCGTGAAGGTTTTCTTCCAAGGGCATTTCGTCAGTCGTCAATTTCTCTGACAGGAGACCATTCCGCGTCCGGGTGCGGCCATCTCCTGTGTTGCCAAGCAAATTTTATCAGGCTTGTTTTTTTAAGAAGAGGTCAGGAACTCAGAAACAAATCGTAACAGAAGCGTACATTGAACAGCTTACCTACAGTTTGCAGGCTGTGGTTTGGGCTTCAGGAGGAGTGGTGCCAGATGGCTGTCTCTGGGATCGTTCTTTGACGGCATGACCCCACCGTCTGCACCGGCTCCACACTTCTGCCCCATTGGCGCTTACATCTCTCTGTCTTTGGTTTGCCTCTCTCTCTCTCTCTCTCTCTCTCTCTCTCACTCTCGCACGGGCTATGGCAGCTGAGACTTCTGTGCAAGCCAAGCCAGGGCCAAGTTGGCGGCTTGACTGAATGCTTTTGGGCTACCGTCTCATCACAATCTCCCAGTGAGAATGGGGATCGAACAGGATGCCTGCTGCAGTAACACTTCAGTGGTCGAGAAGCCACCGCTCAACACGAGATCATGCCCGCAACCGGTTTCCGCCCTCCAGCCGGGTGACTCTACCAAGATTTACAGACGACAATCGAAAGTATCAAAGAGGTTGCGCAAACCCAGGGGCAAAGCGTGCGGAGTCAGGCAGCCTTACAAGCACATGTCTGAGGCAAGCTGCCGTACTGTTGCCAGGTGTTGAAAAGGAAGATGCCTCGCTCATATCTGTCCGGCGAGGTCACCTGTCCATGACCGACGAGGGGATTCGAGGTCACAGCGGGCATCAGACAATTATGGTGATGGTACTGAAAAGAAGGAGGAGCTAAAATAAGTATATTGACGAAAAGAGTAGAACTTCAGCATCACGCGAGACCGATGGCGAAAAATCAATTCGTCAGAGGTGGTTGATAGTATCTGCTTTGGTCTTCGACACGTTTTTGAGACTGCGGAAGTCCACCTCGAAATCAGTTTCATGTACCCAAACAATACAGCTTTACAACCTTGATGCCGAACATCAGAGCTACAGCCTGCTTCAATATACGAGAATATACAAACAACTATGATATACTGTAACATATACTTATACAACATACTATAATATGTACTACACTATCAACAATAACATATACTTGACTATCAGCTATAATGTACATTATACTATCAACTATAATAAAGACTATAAAACCGAATATATATATATATATATATATGGGTACCCCCCCCTATATGGGGTCCCCTGGGTTTTTGCAAACCTAAACCATTAAACCATTAAACCAATCCTTTCCCCCAATGGACCCAAACCAATAAACCATTAAACCAATCCTTTCCCCCAATGGACCCAAACCAATAAACCATATTAAACCATTAAACCATTAAACCAATCCCTTCCCCCAATGGACCCAAACCAGTAAACCATTAAACCATTAAACCAATCCTTTTGCCCCATACCACTAAACCACTAAACCATTAAACCATTAAACCAATCATTTCCCCTATAGAGAGAGACACATCCCTGTATGGGCCGAAAGCATTGGCTTAATGGTTTAATGCTTTAGTGGTTTAGGGGCATTGGGGGAAAGGATTGGTTTAATGGTTTAGTGGTATGGGGTAAAGGATTGGTTTAATGGTTTAATGGTTTAGTGGTATGGGGCAAAAGGACCGGTTTAATGGTTTAATGGTCTATTGGTATGGGTCCATTGGGGGAAAGGATTGGTTTAACGGTGTACTAATTTAATGGTTTGTTGATGGTTTAATGGTTTAGTGATGGGTCTAGGGCTGTCTACTACGCAGGTGTCCTGGTTATAACCGGGGACAGAGGTTATAACCAGGCCTGTGCCACGGCTACTTCATCAACACCTAAATCCAAACGTTCGAAAGTTTCGGTGTATCAGTGAATGTAACCGCAATGAAATTAAACAAGGACTAGAAGAATAGAGGGTCCGAGGTAATTGGCATGTATTCGGTTGCTGAGGCATGATGCAGTGCTCTGTAACAAACATAATTCCGGGGACCATGTGCGCATTCCCCAACTTTAGCGGAAAGGCTATATGGCGGACTTTACATAATGGTCTGTCCGTTCCAGTACATCGGTTTTATGAGATCAGTGTACACATTGAGAGAATAGCCGCTAACATGTCACTCACCCAGGAATCAAAATGCGGAATATGAAGGGGCTCTATCGGGATTACAGTAGGTCAGTAAGTGTTGTCAACATTGGAATATCACGGTACACAGAAAGTTGAGATACGACTGCTACGACGTCATTGTAGGGGAGAGACAGTATTTCAAAGTTTACAGCGTGGTCAGGTTTCATCACTTCGTACATAGGCAAACTGGTTGCAACGTTATGTTCAAACATCGTTCCAAGGAAGCCGGATTTCGACGAGACAAAACTGATAAGAATATGTGTGGTGGGCGAAACAAAATTTGCAACTTGCAAATTGTTAGGTTTCCTCGCTCGGCACGTAGAAAATTCCTAGCACTGCTATTTCCAAATACATGGATGAACCTCTTTCGAGGAGTGATTCGGTGTGTGGTTACCACTTTTTCTAACACGAGGATCACGTTCTGGACTGGGAACAATGGCCTCTATTCGACCTTCAGTGAATATTCACAAGAACACAAACAGAAATTCGGACAAGCTAGATGTAGCCTTATGGTTTTCAGTCGGCTTTACGTGATGGTTAGAGTATGCTGATACAAAAAAACACAGGCTTCATCACTCAGCATATAGAGACAGTGCGCGTCCTAAGAAGCGACGCTTCATGTCGTCCCCCAGGAAAAACACTATACAACGTTTGCTAAGCTTGTAGTATGCAAGTTTTCAATTTTGGCTTGGGGCAGCCGTCATACAGAATTAAGGAATGCACCACTCAAATACACCTACCGGATATACCAGTGTTTAAAAGCAACCACATAGGGGCACTGGGATATGCCATTGAAAGCTATCAGTTTGCCAAAACGTCATAGCAATGCGTCCAACAACAGAGACTTTGGTGGGATTGCGGCATTACAGTACAAAGATGGAGAACTTTTCGTTCCAAAATCTAGTTCGCGATAAGGAATGACTGAAGCAGACTCATGACTACAGCGCGCTTGTTGGAAAAAACTGAAATACAGCGGTTTAGATACAGTCACACAAAGATGAACTACGAAGATATATCGACGGCTTCAAGGCAAGGATTTTAGCACATTGTAACAGGGTTTCGACGAGGGTGTCATAGAATTCTTAGCGTTGTGCGGGTTTCAGCATTCTGAAAGCATGGGTTGTTGCAACTTCCCGGGTTAGTCTTCAAACGGGATATAATACTGTAGTCGATGACGTACACCTGATTATAACCTAGTCGGCTGGTTATAACCTAGTCTGGTGGTTATAACCGAGTCAGTTGGTATAGCGAAAAACGTAGGGGACCCCAAATAGGGGTGCGCCCATATATATATATATATACATATATATATATATATATAACATAATCCTTCCTGCATCAGGCCTTCGCTCGGAGAACATGCGTGGTTCGCACTGGAATCAGACTGCCATCAGCCGCCCGCCAGAGCTCCAATGCAGCTTCGTTCAGCTTGATCTCCTGCAACTATACTATGTTAGAACAAACCATAATATATACTATACTATGTTACTATATAGTAATAATCATAATAATCATAATCATAATGATGATAATAATAATAATGCATACATACTATAGTTTATCTCCTTCAGCAGGGGCAGGTAGTAGAATGACTTACAACAAGACTCCGAGGTCTCAGCAGCAAACCTTCGGCTGTACAAATGGACTTTGCAATGCCTGTGAAGCGAACAGTACTTTTCCTCAACTGCTTGGTGCTGCGATATCTTTGTCCTGCAGAATATGTTTTGGCTACATTTATTAACTCGGGGGCAAATGGGCAGAAGACCGCCTTACTCAGGCAGTGAAGCTTCGTGAAGCAGTGTTGCTGGCTGCTACGGTGGCAGTCCGACCGGTTTCACGCGAAAACCCCGGGTCTCCTTCCAGAATTTGCTGACGCCCTTTGTGTTGTCTTTGCCCCAGTCTGCCGTGTCCAAGCCTGGCAACCACTCTGAGGCACGTCCCCATCTCTAGAAAAATCTGTGGGCAGCATCACGATATGCATGGCGTTGATTGCCACTTGAGATACTCACGACTTCTGGAAGATGCACTTCTCCGTTTCTCACCCTAGTGGTGCGAGCAGGACGGCTATAGGTTCGTTTACCATGTGAAGAAATCTTGTCGCAGTCCCCAAATGTGCCGAGGTAGGTGTTTTCCGGCCAAAGGCTTGGGACCAACGACCAGAGGCTAAACTTCAAATAGTCATGGGGGGCACGATCTACAGCTCCTGGGCTGGAACTCGTGAGGCGAGCAACCTGCCCAAGCCGAAGAAGAGACAACGGCGTCAAGGGAATAGATAACAACAAGACAAGCTTTGCGGGAAGCTTTATGTTCTGACTTCTAACTTCTCAGTGGCTGCCTCTGGCACTCTTGAGCCAGTCATAGGGACCCTTATTATTCTACCCCCCTCCCCCTCCCCCCCAAGGGTCCCTATGAGCCAGGGCACCTTTGTCCAGGAGCCAGGCAGCCAGGGACTCTGCATCCGGCACATCCTTTGTCTGCTCCGGCTCGGGGCTTTGCGTGGGCTTCGACTTCGGGATGGTTCGGGGTTAAGGGTTTAGGCGTTTAGGGTTTAGGGGTTTAGGTTTTAAGGTTTAGGGGCTTAGCGGGGCTGCTTGTGCTGCGCGCAAGCAGTCGGAATGCACTATAATGAAATCAAGAGATGCTGCGGTACAGAGAACCTCGAACAAAGAAAGGGCTCACGTCAAGGAGGAACTGTTTTACAGCCGGACCAAACTAGGCAGACAACCTCCCATCACGCTTCCATCGCATAGCTGGCATAACTATCGGCCGCAGCAAGTTTCAAAATGGGTGCCGCGTGCAAAGCAACCGAAGCTGAACAGCAAGGAATTGGCCAACACTGGTTCAACCGTACCCATACAAGTAGTACCAGGCTTTCACAATGCAATATACTATCTCGTATGTATACAGTATAGTGGTATAGTCAGTATAGTCGTATAATCAGTACAGTGGTAGTAGTATGGCGGCATCGCAGTACCATAGTATAGTAGAATAGCATCAAGGTAGTATAGTTAGTAGCTACATACTCCGCTAGATACAGTATGCTTGAAGATACTGTACATTGAGCCCTTGGTGCGCCAGGCGTCGCTCAGCGAGGCGCTCTGGATGAGTTCCCCGTCCGTTAGCGGTGCGGGGAGGTTCGACGCGGCCACCATCGCAGAGATGCGACGCGAGGCAAAGGCAAAGGAGAGATCACAGCGCCTGAAGGAGGTCCCTGGTTGGAGGTTAAGGGCTGGGCTGAGCTACAGAGGGGCTTCGGGCAAGCTTTGAGTACAGGCCAGATGGATCCATGGATCCTCTGGTCGCGGTAAGGTGCAAGAGTGGGTACTTGGGCTAGAAGGATGCAAGGGGTGCCCGATGGTGTTGTCAGAGTCGTTGAAGTGTAGGGGTTGTGCGCTTCTGCGGAAGCTCGTATAGTGGTGGTAGTTTGGAGTGCTGGACTGCGTGCCTATCAATTTTTTGAGCCACAGAGACGCATACCACCGATTTGTGGCAGGCGCTGCTTTTGCCCTTGTTGAAAATCTCATGCATATAACAAGGTCTGCTGCCCAATGCACAGCGCCAGTAACACTTCAAAAGCTGAACTTGCAACAGCTGGATCAACAGTCACCAGCATCCGCATTGTGGCAACAGCAAGTCAGCTTTGAAGAACGGGCTTGGAAGGATTAGCATGACTAGCCTTCCAGTGATGACTCGCGAAGATGAATTCAAACCGCAATGCCGGCGTCACCAATGTGCAAAGAATACACGTACCGTAGAACTGCAGCACCAACATTACCCAGAAACCCAGAACTCGCAAAGTGGCGGTCATCGCCAGTCCATCTCCTGGACCCTCAGCGAAATTCGACCGGTTCCGATGTCCATTGTCGGTTCGGGCAGCGCTAGGCTTGAGCTGATGCGGCAAAGTGCCTCCACACGAACGATGCCCAAAAAGCCTTCACTTGACGATTGCAGAGCAACAAGCTTGTTTTTCAGCCGTCGCAGCGAACGGCAAGAGCCTCAGATATGAATGGGAGCCATGGCTTGTACAAGACTGACCAAAATATATCAAACTGTTAAGGGTGCTTCTCATTGGGCCGACTCTCCGGTACCAGCCGGGAAAGTCGCAGAAGTTTAGGGTTTGCTTCGGTGCAGCGTATGTGCCAAGCCAGGCTTCTCTTATTGGCCGACTCAGAACTGAACGTAGGAAGGCTGATCATTGCCTTCGGCCTCGCAAGAACTGCAAGAATTCTCCGGATGGCTTGCACTGAGGGCTTGCTTCGAGTTTCCTGACATTGTAGCTTCTAGTGTTGCAAGAGCGACAGACAGAATCGATATGCGAAAGTCTCCCGTGCATCTTTCTGTTTTCGATCTTGACAAACGTCCGTCTGTGAAGGTATGTCTCCAAGACTGCTACAACTTGTACCACAGGACCAATGGCAGGCACTGGCTCCATCAGCTGCGAGAAGTGATTCTGTAGGGTACCGGGTACCACGGGGACAGAACAAGAAGCCATCGACTTGCAAAATCTCGGGAACCCAAATCGAAGCAAATACGAGGGATCAGCACCCTGAGAAGGTCTTTCTCTGAACCTCTCTGCCTAGGCACCTGCCAACGACACCTTCAAAAATGCTTCGCGAGGCGCAGCTCACACGGATCCCTCTCTGTTGCAAAACAAGATACCATCCGCTCTTCTGACTGGTAGCTGTACATGGTGGGGAGGAGTTTCTGACCTTGGCAATGCAGGGATAGCACGTGTCTTGCCGCCACAGGTACCAAACTTCCGACAGACACCATCGAGTTGCTCCTCGCTTCTGCAAACACGGGGGGGGGGGGGGGGGGGGTGCTGGGCAGCCAGGGGAGCCTCTAGAGCAATAAATGCTAGTGCTATGATGACCAACCGTTCCTAGATCATCACTAGTGACCATTGTCCATGTCGATGTTGGTACGTTTTGTGCGAAGGTCAACATGCTCGTCATTCGCATCTTTGCTATTCCTGTCATGATCGCAAAGTCACATGGTGGGCGTGGACTGCAGATAAAAACTTGAGCAGCGCACGAAGTAGAACCCACTGGTGAGCTATACTGTAGTACTGTAGTTAGAACGGTTCAAACTGGAACTTTCTGCTCCCTCGAAACACGAGCACACACAACAACAAGTCATGATTCCTCAGGGCCAGGCCAAGACGACCCACCACTGCACTTTCGGCAGTTGGTGGCCGATGGGGTCCCTGGCAGTTGCAGCTTCACTCGACAGGTCACCCAAAAGTATCAAGGGTTTTATTCTGCCACACTGATGTGGCACCCATGCACCATATCAAACTCGCAAATAGCAAGATGCCTATGATGCTTGATACTAAATATCGAGTCAGCCCCACAACTAACGATGATTCAGTCTTTGGGAGCTCGATGTTGCATCCTGCTGGGGTGGTGTTCTGCGAACATCGAAGAGAGTGCTTGATGATCGCACCTGCAGTAGCAATAAAGTAACGGCCACGCAGCATGCACTTGCACATGGGTGGGGAAGGAGAAAAGAGAGAGTGAGATAGAGAGAGAGAGAGAGAGAGAGAGAGAGGAGGGAGAGGGAGTTGGAGAGGCAGATATAGATTGAGGGGGGGTGGGGGGCTCGAGAGAACAAGAGATCGCGAGAGAGTGAGGAGAGTCAGTCAAGATTTGATGCGAGCACTGCAATGAGGCAACTCTGTCCAAACTGGTTACTTGAGCCTTGAGCTAAGAAGTAGGACAGGCGCGAGGAAAAGGCAAGATGCCTGGTTTGCCTGCAACAGCAGTTGGTCCAGGCAGAACGAAATGTACCAAATGTTGCAGCAATAATACAGTGTAAGTGTACGACGCATCGCAGTCTTACTAAAGCTCACTATGCTGGTAGGCACACGCCTATCACTTCCTCCCAAAACCTTGCGAAGGCAAACAGGGTCTTTGGCACCGCCAGCTGAAACCACATCAGCAGCTGCAACAGACCTTGGCCCACTGCTGGATTCTAAGAAGACCATCCCAAAGAACACACTGTTTCAAAGATGCCCAGACGAACGGAGCTGCCTGAAGCTCCAAAGATACGCTGGATTTCGGACTCCGGACTGCACTGTGGCTGCGGCCGTTGAGCAGAACGATCGCCAGCACAGTCAGCAAAGGCATCACGACCAGTGCCAGAGCGAAGTGCGAGTTCCTGAACTGCAAGGCATTCGATGGAACGGGAACTCCGTAACTTTACAAGTCGCACCTATCACTTGGACTGTCAAGTCTCAGCTTAAGGAGTTGCCCCACACTGCGAAGCATTGTCCCCCATGCTGCAGCCTGTGCAAGGGCCTGTTCACGATCGAAATCTACTGCGAGTTGTCGCTACTGCATGCGCCGTTTCGGACCCAGCGAACGTGCCACAGCGGCAGGGTTCAGGCACAAAGCGACACTCCTGACTACAAAGCCCCGGACGCCAGGGAGACATCCTGCTCCAGGTGCGTGGCCGGCTCCTGGGCAAATCTGCTTTCATCCGACCCTTCATCTTCCCGAAAACGCAATCATCCTGCACTCCGGTGCAAATGATTTCCTTGAGAATCGCCGCTTGCCGGTTTGGTAACATGCGTTCACGACCGAGGTAGGAAGAAAGAATATGAATATTCTTGCCCGCCGCGAACAGGCTCGAACCCGGCCCAGCAGATTCCCAACTATAGTTGTCCTCCCTTACTGCCCATGGAAGATTTACCAGAAGCCAAGGTTCTGCTTTGTCGGGAGAGCGCAAAGCCCGATCAGCCACAAAGACCCGTACCCCAGAAAGCCACTTTCTACCGACACCACTACTTCAACTGCGAATGCCGCTCCGGATACGGACATGACGCTGCCATGCTGGCCAACTCCAGGACTCATGAAGCTGCCCGTTGGGTTGCAGAACCGAGCCGGGATGACGTTGTGCCACTGCAGGAAGATGGGATATTTCACCACCTCGCACACGGCTGCAGAGTCTATTCTATGTGGAACTTTGCATGGCAGAATGCAGTGAACTACAATGCACATGAGATGGCTGAAGCCTGCCAGCCCACCAGAAAATCCCTGAGCCCGCTGCGGTCACACGCTTCACGCTCTCGAAAGGAAGCAGACCCGGATCAAGCTGCGGCTGCCCCAATCTGACTCCGGGTGCGCCTTTTTGAAGTGGGCGGAAAAGTCCTGCACCGCCAGCTCGTAGAACTTCAGTTTCCTTGGCAGGACTCAGATGTCGGATCCTTCGCAACACCCGCCATTGCATGCAAGTCCTCCGGTCAGTCTCACGTTCCAACGCCCCTGTGAGACTCCGGCATCTGGTCTGTCTCCCGTATGCCACCTGTCACCCATACTTTCGACGGGCAGATCTTGGGAACTGAGACATCGATTTTGAATCACAGCTGCTGCCGTCCCAAGTGCATCTGAACAGGACCCCTGCCAACGAGGAGGGTGTGTACTCGTGATGAAACTCCTTTGAGGAGGCAGAATATGAATATGTATAATATGTGTATGGCTTCTGCGTGCGCATCTTTCCTTCCATCTTATGGCCAAGTTGCGTAAAGGTCTGCCACCGCAGAACCATGTGTAAACTAGCAAACAGATACATACATGTTTCAAGGACAGAGCTGAGGTGCATAATGGTATTTACATCCATCCACCCATGCATTCAAACTTGCGATCTCGATGCGTATATATATATATATACATGAATATATACATATATTTATTGATTTATTTATTTACACATCACTGTGCGACGCATTGACATCATGGCCGATGACTCCTAAGGACTGTAGTTCGCCTCGCAGCAAACAAACCTATAAATAAATAAATAAATAAATATATATATATATATATATATGTATGTATATAGGTGAGGTGGCAGCTCCAACGATTCATGCTCAGGATCGTGCCCACATGCGCCCCGGGCACGTTCCAATCCCCACCTCAAGGCGAAAACCGGTTGCGGCTGCAGCAAACTGGTTTCGTCGATCTTTGACGAATGTTTTCTGATCTGGTCTGTACCCCACTATGACTTGCACTAGCGTGACCGATGGAACCCACAAAACAACGAATCTGTTGGTAGCCTGCAGTGATTCTGCTAATCGCTCGGGATCCGAATTCAGCAGCCACCTACCTGAAAAACAGTTAAGTTAATTAAGCCCCTCTAGACGGGACTTGCCTCGCGCGGCTACGCTTGGCTTTACCGGACGGGGTCGAGCCTAGGAGGTGTGAAGGAACGGTGCAGAATCGATCCCGGTCGAAGGCGTCTGTAGCTTGTTGCGCCGTTTTCGTGCTGAACAGCATCGAAGCAGTCTCGACTGGGCATTTGTAGCCAACTTTGTTTCAGTCGAGTGTAACTGATGTAGGTCAAGCCTTTCTTCTCTTGCCCGACAGCAAGATCTCTGCGTGCAAGCTCCAGCAGCGAAGCAGGCTATCATAGACTCATAGATTGTCATAGATTGCTGCATTACCAGATGAACCGAACAACGCCCACAGTTGCAGCACTTACAGTAAATAGAATGTAAATAAATGCTGGCAGGACCCTCACCACCGCGGGTAGCTTGATCACATGATGGTGACCATGGCAGAAACCCCAGTCGCATGCATATGCAACTCCCGCATTCTCAAGATATTTCCAAGCATCTCCCACCATCAGCCCTGGAACAAGCATGTTGGCTTCAGCTGTCAGCTTCGTGTCTACGTTTACTGACAGGATCTTCCAAAATACTCTACCCCTCGGAGCACATGCTTAGCAAACCACTTCATGATGCCGTTGTACCGGTGGCGTGTTGATCCATGCCGGAAACTGTAAACTCGAATGCCGAAGATGCACCAGCCCCAAATGTATCCTTTCCTTTTTGCAGTATGAAAGCTACGATAACCAGAAGATATGCACAAGGTACCCCGACCAAGCTTGGCAAGGGAGCTTTCAGAGCAGCCAGCAAGTCTGAGACTTCGATGCTTTCATGGCCCTCAAGGGGATGTCACCTGTTACTTAACAAAAGCTTGTGTATCGTTCAACCAGGGAGAAATTGAAAGCATCGCTAGTACGGGGGATACCGCACCGCCATCATGTCTGAAGTGACGTTTCGGAAATCAAGGGAGGGAACCACGGCCACGGCGCACTTGGCGCAGTTGGGCTGATCACATGGGCGTGTCTTCCTCGGTACAGCTCCGTCCGCTGTCGCTGTCACTGGCCCGGAGAATGCCTGTAAAGCCACCAAAGCGCCAGGCGAAACCCTTAACCAAACCATTCTCAGGCTCCGAGTGAAGAGGTTCCACCCGAAGCCCTCTCCGCAGTAGACCCCCAGGGCTGCCACCACGACGGCCTCCTGCAGAGAGGAAGTGATTGGCACGGCGGGGCCTTTGGGTGCGCAATTTCGGGTACGGCTCAAGGGTTTGTTGGTGCAGACACCGGGGCCTTTGGTTGAGGCTTGACACTCTCCAAACGATCAGCTCGAATTTCGGATTCCCGGGCCAATACTTACCTTTGGTTAGTAGGGAATGGAAGAATGGTAGTAATAGTAGTTATAACTTAAGATATACTTGCACCCCATTCCTCCATTCCTTACTAACCAAAGGTAAGCAATAGACAGCATCAAGGCATGCCTGCATGCTCCGGCCGACCAGGACAGTGTCGACATGGCCTTCGAGCTCAATCGTGTAAACCTCGGGTTTCACGGAGGGGCAGCTCGGTCTCGCAAACTAGAGCGTAACCATATGGGAGTTTCCGAAAATAGGGGACCCTAACAGAGTAATTACCCTAAATAGTAGGATCCTTATCATAAGGACTCTAAAGTAAGGAACCCCTAATTTAACTGTCGGAAACTCGCACATCTCAGTGCCCGAAACGGCTTGGCACAATTGTCCCAACTGCCTGACTACCGATTTGTTCTCGTGCGAGGCTCGTGTCTCTCGTGGGTCAGCTCGACCTCACCGCAGCCTGACTTGCTCAAGGGACTGCAAACCCTTGCATCTCACCGAAGATCGCCATGTGTGCTGCGGGAACGTAACTTACTTTGCTGCGGCAGGCCTCACGGATTTGGGAAATCTTGTTCTGCAGTGTCTTGCGGCAGTGCTTAAGTTTAGGCGTGGTTGGGTGCCTGAGTCAGGATATCATGCCCGTGCTCATGTCAGGTGAAAACCCATGCTTCTCCTCCAGGCCTGAACATCTCGGCTGTACGAGGTGGGCAGCTACTGTACACAAGGACTCTAACAAAGGGGTCTTAATAATTCGAATGGGGTTCTGGGGCCCATTATACTATAATTATAATAAAGAACCCCAAAAATAGTAATTATAGGTATTTAGGCCCGTATATTATGTTGCAGCTGCAAAGCTCTCTGGCCGCCGCCACGTCCCACCCATCTTCACGGGATGTCCGGTTGTGAGCCGGCAACCCGGGATCACTTCCTCACAGCTGATGCAGACAAATTCAAAATACGACCGCGACAACTTTTTGTTGCGATTCTGTATATTAGTATATTCTGTTCATGTGCAGTCACAATGCCAAGCAAGGCAAAGCATGACAGCCTCAAACACGAGCACCGCTTCTTTCAGCCAAAATTGCTCTGAGTGGCGACCGTGGCAGAGTCGCCCAGTGTAGGGCACTGCCAGATCCGGGTCACCCGCCGGAATTGCTCTTCCCTCACCTCGGTGTGCTTTCGTTCGCCACGTTGGAAGCTCTAACAAAGGATATGCAGCTTCTTCCACCCGACAAGCAGGGTTCAGGTTAAACCTTCTTGGCCACGCTTTGTGTTTCAACTCCCACGCTTCCTGTCATGCCGAGTTGCTGGAGATCCAGTGTGCAGCACATCCCCCTCCTTCAGTTGTCGCATGGTTTTCTGCACCTGCCGGCCGGATTTGAGGACGTGGAAGACGCAGGAGTCAGTGAAGCAGGTGCCTGGGCATTGTCCGATCATGGCACGCCCGATCTAAGGCAGCTTCGGCTGCTGGCTTCTGCAGCGTTGCCTCTGCCTCAAGTCAGCTGCAACAACCGAACGTCGCTGCTAGACGAGCCGCAGCGGACTGAGTCCGGGCTCCATGCGCGGGCAACCTGAGCACAAGTTTTCACAGCACGCTGGGAGAGCAGAGTCAACTTAGTCGGAGCCCGTAAAAGGTCTGCTGGACCGACTCTATGCAAGCTACATCCTGCCACCGACCGCACGTGTCGGCATCAACCAGCATAACTAATGAAGATAGTGAATACTCATACATATACATATATAGATAGATAGATAGATAGATAGATAGGTAGATAGATAGATAGATATGTACACACATATATCTAAACGTTATCTAAATCTAGACACTATGTGCAAAATGTCGTTGACGACTAGTCCATCTCTATCACATGTGTTCCCAGTGTATTGCCCTGGCTGCGATGTTGTTTGGGTGGGAGCCCTCGTCGTTGTAGTAGCAGCAGTAGCAGTAGCAGTAGCAGTAGCAGTAGCAGTAGCAGTAGCAGTAGCAGCAGCAGCAGTAGCAGTAGCAGTAGCAGTAGCAGTAGCAGTAGCAGTAGCAGTAGCAGTAGCAGTAGCAGTAGCAGTAGCAGTAGCAGTAGCAGTAGTAGTAGTAGTAGCAGCAGCAGTAGCAGTAGCAGTAGCAGTAGTAGTAGTAGTAGTAGTAGTAGTAGTAGTAGTAGTAGTAGTAGTAGTAGTAGTAGTAGTAGTAGTAGTAGTAGTAGTAGTAGTACAGTAGTAGTAGTAGTAGTAGTAATAATAATAACAATAATAATGACAGTAATTCAAGATGCAAATGCAAGTCCTACGCTTCTTTTGCAGAGTCCGTGTTTGAGACCACTCCTGCAAAGTCTGGTCGGCTAGGCGGTGCACAAATGCATGCTCAAAGGCATAGCACGGCCAAGTCAAGTCGCGAACGGTAGCAAATCTTCCCAAGACACTGCCGGACCAACGTCAAGATTTGCCTCTCCCACACCATTCTGGGTTTACATGATGCTCCTCAGAACGGATGCTGGATGCTGTTCATCAGTTCATCACATATGGTCCGAACCCTTGAGACACTTCTCTCACCAAGTAGCGGCCACAGGCTTCGGACGTGGCTTGGGCGGAGGCTTCTTCACGCGGACCAAGCCTGAGGCTGGAAGAAATCCGTTTCTGGTCTACAGGTCCAATTGAGGGTTTGCTGATTAGCCTGTTTGCCTGCACAACAGTTCACCCAGGTTGAGTCGAGATCAGTGATGGGCCAGGCATTAAAGTGCCGGACCGGATCATCCCAACAACTGAATCCAAGGACTCCACAACAGCACGGCAACCTGTGCCCGAAAGAAGGCCTAGGACACATCAGCTCGCATGCTGGTACCGCACGCAATATGGGAAAAGTAAACAAAACAGCTGTAAACAGTATACTGCTATGGTATTCTGGCAATTACTACGACAAGCACGAACAACACAGCACGGGATATGCTGCTTTTGCAACAACTTGGAGGATGAAGTAGTTGCAGCGATTTGTCAACTTCGCGATCTCTGCGAGTCTGATGTTGGTCCTGTTGTGTTGGCGATACGGGACCCAAATACAGTACCTTAAAATAGTAGGATCCTTACTATAAGGACCCCAAAATAAGGCTGTTGCTGCAGCTCCTATAAGGTTGCTGCTGCTACTGCTACATACCATTCCCATGGGTCCGATGACCATGCAACAGGCGAGTTCGCATCGTAGCAGCTTATGTCAGGCCAGGGCTGGGGGACATGCCCACGGATGGCAGATTTCATCCAGCAACAAGAACGATGCCAACCAGAATCATCATGAAATCAGGGAGTTACGTCTGCAACCGGGAGGCTGATGACACTGCCTTCCATGACGGCAGTCTCGGCCAGAAGCCGTGTTCGTGCCAGCTCCTAACGGAGCACGTTCGATTCAGGCTAAGATTTGGACACACCTCTGTCAACAGTGCTCTGCATAGAAACCGGCAGCCTCTCCATCCACGAAGAACTTCAGATCTTCTTTTTCGCCTTCGGACTTCGACTAACAGTGTGTCACAGCCAAATCCCGTAGTTAGGGCATCCCGCCAGTTTAAAGACCTTGCCTGCCTTCTGTCTCACATCTGCATGGGTATTTCAAGAAAATCACAAGAATACCAGAGATGGCTAGTACAGTCGCCTGCGAGAAGACGAGAAACCAAGACAAGTGACACAGCACGGAGGATGAATGCAATGATTCACTACGTTCCCAGACTGTCATCGTTGTTTTCCCAGCATCCATCATGTGCGAAAGAGTACCACGGCGACGTGGCCTTTCTCGCGCAGAAGGACCTCAATTTCCTGGATCTTGGTGTCCTGAGGCTTTTGAGCAAGGACTTCCATGAATTACGGCTCGGCTCTGCAATTCTAAGAGGGGACGCCCGCTCAGTCCGAGTTCCTGGAACCACTGCTTTATGACACTATAGTGTTGCTTCTCCTACTACTTCTTCACCTTCTTCTTCCCATATTTGATGCGGTGATGAAGATGGCGACGACAATGCTTTGCCGGCATGATAATGAAGATGCTAGCCGAAGAAAGTGAGGACCACGATGATAAACGCTTGTTTTCTCTGTTGGCAATGACCGATGCATGCTTGAGTGTTGCTGTTCTCGCCGTAGTTGCAGGAGCACAAAGAGCAGTGAGAGCAGCATTCGTCGTCGCAGGAGCAGGAGCAGTAGTAGCGGCGGTGGCGGCGGCGGTGGTGGTCGTGTAACATTGAACATCGACTGAACCGGAGAAAGGTCTGTCCTTGTCCATCACCTTCTCCAGGAGCGTCTCACCAGAGAGAAGTCGCACAATGACCTACATCGACCGTAACAGTGTTGACAGAGAAGTCAGGATTCCCTGCTGTGCCGCTACATATATAATTAACAGGGAACCCCCCAAAAAAATAGTGTAGGTACTTGTTAAGGAGGCCCCTATATTTAGGCTTTTAAGCATCCCTCCTCTCCCAAGAGTTTTGGAGGGCCTCCACGAGATCAGGGTCTCGTAGCATGGACGAGGTGGACGGATTGGGGCAGCCTGAACAAGGGTCTAACGTATTTAGGGGTTTCCTTACTATAGTTGTAGTATAATATAGTATAATATACCACAGGGCCCCATTCCGATTGTTAAGGCCCCTATATTAGGGGTTTCTTTGGCTGGGGCGACAAAAGCTTGCAACGATGGGACGAAGACATGCCCTGGGCATGCCACTTAGATAGGATGGAGGGCCGAGCCAGCCGCATCTCGCAGGAACAACAAGTTCAAAGATGCCGCGAAGCCGAGCCGGAAAAGTATGCAACACACTCATGCAAAGAACGAAGCGCAATTCTGCCAGACAACATCGTCGAAAAGTGCCCAAAATGGAAAGCCAACGCCCCCTCGACCCGGCACGAGAGCTGCCAGGCAGCTCCAGTCTTCTGGAGCTTGCATGCAATGCCACAAAGCCTGGCCAAGGGTGCCACCAACCTTTGCCAGGGGATTCGAGGGTGACCGACACAGAAGCACCAACGCCACGATGTTCATCCACAAAAACCAGAATACGAAGACCAACATGACCAAGTCGACAAATCCTAAACCCCTAACTGACTTCTATATCCTTAGTTTACCCTAAGGCCCCAAAGTAGTTCCCTTTTGGGCTTCATATATAGAATCCTACAAGGTAGTCCCCAAAAGGAACTGCTTTGGGGCCTATGGGTAAAGCCTACCTTACCCCCAAGTTACCTACCTTTTTACGGACTTATATAAAGAACTGATATTAGGGAACCCTAAAAAGGTAGGGTCCTTAGGGTCCAGGTACATGTACACACACATATATATATATATATATATATATTATACATATATATATATATATACACATATATTATATTAAATACATATATAGTATATTGTACTATACTATATATATATATATATGTTAAAGCCTACATGAAGGATTTTGGGCTCCGAGAAGCGCTTCTTAGGCGCTCGGAGAGCCAGGAGCGATCTCCACCGGAGATGAAACAGCCCAGGGTGATCACATCGTCCTCCTGGGTCTTTTGTTTGTTGAGGGCCTTTTTGGTCTCACATCCTCCTGTCTTTGGGTTAAGTGCGTCCTCCTGTCTCTAAGTCGTGCAGGGTTTAAGTTTAGGCTTAGGCTTTAGGAGTTCAGGGTGTCGGGTACTACAAGGGGGCCATTACGGAACATGTCGTCCTCCTGACTCCTCCTGGCTACAAATGAGGGCTACGAATGAGGCATGGTAGGGTTGATAGATTCTACGTGTCGGATTCTAGAAGGTTCCCATATGGGAGACGAAGGGTTACTCAAAAGGCCTCCCTGCGTCCTTCTGTCGGGTTGAATAAGGGTTCAAGCTAGTATTCTCGCTACAAGGGTTGCCATAAAGGCTACTAGAACTACCTGCTCGGATTAAGGCGTTTTGGGGTTTAGGGATACAGTAGGGCCTCACTATAAAATTTACCACAAGACTTTCTGCAAGGGTAAGGGTTTAGGGTAGCTAGTAAATCCGGGGACCCTGCGTTCTATCCTGAAGCCAAGGCAAACCCTGCAAGAGCCCAGACCCCTAAACGAAGCTTCCATAAAACATGCGAAACTGGAAATCTTTAGCGCACACCCCTGATTGATGAACTCCCTTTCTTTAAGGACCTTGGCATTGGGATGCCTATTGTAGTCCCCTTCACGGCGCTCTTTTAATAATTCACTCAAGGGCTCACATTATTACTGTACGTCTCGATAGACTCGAACCGATGCCCGAGAGAGGTTAGACAGGCTTGGCTTCAGAGACAGACATTTATATGTCTATAACTACCCATTAACCCCAAACACGAACCATGAATCGAGACCCTAGGACCGAATCCTGGAAATGAACCCCCAACCCCCCGAACCCGGAAAGCCCAACCCCATCTCACCCCATAAACCCTAAACCCCTCAACCCTGTTCATAGAAACTTATATCATCAACAATACCACCTTCAAAAAAAAACGAACAGAAACCTCTGATGTTCTCCTAAACCCTACAGACCCTATAGACCCCAAAAGCCCTAAACCCCTCAATTCTGTTCATGCGCTCCTCGGCCGGATCCCTTCGGAAAGGCCAGGAGGAGGCCGCTGCAAGCTGCTCGGAGCCTTCGGCTGCGAATGCCATCCTTGGATTTATGGGTTAGGGTTTAGGGGTTTTGGGGTTATAGTTTCAGAAGGGACTGTCATGGGGCCTGGGTTTTGGCACACCCAGTGTTTTGCACTTTTTACACTATCTCTATAGTTTCCGGTGTGGTTCCTCTGTAGGGTTTAAGGGCATCTTTGGGCTTAGGATTGTTGTTGCGGCAGCTTTAGGCTTCCAAGGCGCGTCTTTTTCGGGCTGCTTGGCTGTTCGTGGCGTACGAGTTCTGATGCCTTCTTATCTGGCAATTCCTGGAATTATCGGGGCTGAAGGATTCTGGAGATTTCTTGCGTGGGGGTTGCTGTGACAGGGCTCTTGTGTGTTTTAAACGCCTTTTCCCGCCGAGCAGTTAAGAGTTAAGGTCGGCTGAATCCACATTGCGGAAGGCTAGACCCCTGTGTCGGCATTCTCGCCCTCGTGGTTTAGGATTTCGGGGTATAGGGTTTAGGGTGCTGAGCATGTCTGCAGACCTTGTTTTGGGTCCTGCCTGCCCAGGCAAGCGGCAGGTCCTCCTGAAGCGTCCTCGTGAGCTCTGACATCGCCAGCTGGCCCGAGTCAGGCACTGCTGGCTTCTGCGAGGACGGCGAAGGCTTGCATGGCACGTGCGGAATCCTCGGTAGCAAAGACCGGTCGAAGATGAAAGAGAGCGGAGTTACTCTCGAGCCCGAGATTGATTCTCAATGCATGCGCGGCATCATGCGCGCTTGCCGTGTGACGGCTCCGCTCTGCTTTCGGTTTCGGCTACATCTCATGCGCTCCAAGGGGCACATGTCCGAACAAGTGCCGACAATCATCACCGTAGATCATAGCATGCCTTAGCTGAGGGCCAGCGGGCTTCAGATAACGAGCGCATAACCTCAAGACCTCAACCTCGTTTCCAAACGACAGCACTCTCGACATGGAAACTTCGACACTTCACCTGCTGCCTCTCGGCCGAATTCCCGTCTTTCGCAGTTTCATCGTGCAAGCTGGGTACGTCGTGTGAGCATGCCAGATCCAGTCGATCTCTGCCGAAGGTCCGGCCTGCTCACAGGACACGCTTCAGAAGGCGCAGAGCGTCGTCTTGAACGCATTTACGGGTGCGGTCCTGAAGCTTACTTGATCTCGCTGACACAATTGCAGGGAGACGTACTGCAGGTGGCGCCGAGCAACGAACCCTTTCTTATGAAAAGACCACCGCCTGGCTTCTGCAAAGGATATAGATCGATAGGCATCTGTATACTAGATAATATGTATAAATTACACACTGTCGCAACAGATCTTGCTTCGTCCAAGGAATGCGATACGTCAGGTCTAGCATCGATGAAGGAGTCGACGATCTTTCCGACAACGTGAGTGTTGCGATAGTAGTTACCACCGACGCTACAGCAAGAAGACTGCAACTGACAGGTTCAGCTCAAAGCCAAGGTGCTTTGCTTTCTGGCCCCGCTTCACCCATGACGATCCTTTGCGGACTTGCATGGGGAATCTATAGCAGGTAGCGGATTCAGCGGGAAGTGACGGATGGTTTGACTGCGGCCGGGATGTAGCGAGAAGGAGTTTGGAGCGTCTTCACAACGTGCCCGCTAAAGCCTTCTGATCAAGCGACTGTAAACCCACTCATGAAACCACGAAGTGAAGGAGACCAGCTGAGCCCATGTCTTCTCCTCGTGAGGACCCCAACGTTTCAACTTCTCTTTCAGACCCCATAGATCTCAGGTCAACTGGGAAGTCGCAAGCAAGCGTCAGGAAGCGACGATAGTACAGACCGAGCAGTTCCATGATCCGAGATGCAGCATTGGCACCATCCTCGCACAGACAGATGATTCTTACGGCGGCTCGGCATGCGCACAATAACCCTGTGCCAAATGCTGTAACTTCGTATGAGCGACATGTCCGAAACGGATGAGACTACGACTTCATCTGTCATGAATGCAATCATACTTACGTTAAGGCCTTCACGAGAACAGTCGTCTTGTTCACCGCGCTCAAGGAAAGCATGAGGCGAAATTCAGTATGCAATGCGACATGCAGGCGAGGTGAGCTACGAGTTCCGCGGAGCCTGCTCCATGCCGAAGATCAATGCCCTGGGGTCGCCTTGGAGTTCAAGGAGGGGGAAATCTCCGAGATGTTTCCCACGGTGAATGAAGACATGGCGGGAAGATGCCTCTAAGAAACGAGAAGCATAAATCGAAGGCATAGTAATACTATTCTTCAGGGCGCCTAGGTATAGCCGTAGAGTCAGTACTATAGCCCAAAACCTTTGTCAAATGACTGAAACTCCCTTACCATTTGGGCAGCCTCCAGTTTGCCATTTCTGCGAAGCGGGAGGGAACCTCAAAGCATTAACCAACGAAAATATTGTGATGAGGATCATTATGACTATGATTATTATGATTACTGTTATGATACAAGTAGATTAGCAGTAGTAGTAGAAGTAGTAGTAGCAGTAGCAGTAGTAGTAGTAGTAGTAGTAGTAGTAGTAGTAGTAGTAGCAGCAGCAGCAGCAGGAGTGGCACCAGCAGTAGCAGTTCAATACCGTCACGTTTGCTCTTCTTGCTAGTTTTCTCGTCGCCCAGTGGCTCAGCGGTGCCAATCCAGTTGCCTCCAAGGCTGCTAGGCCTGAGGCAGTAACCGCGGCTGAGGGCATGTGACGAAGAATACTTGGTCTGCAGTAGAATGGTCGAAAGATTCTGAAAATACTGGGCTCTGGCTCTGCAGAAGCATTCATGAAAAAAATGCTTGCGAATGCTTGCGGCTTAGGGCCAAGCCTGTGCAGTTTGTTCGATTACCTGTGCTTGGCCACGGTGGGCCAAATCGCGGCAGAGGGCATTCGCTACATGAACGGGCCCAGCACTCTCTTTGCCTGCAGACTTCGGTTGCTGCCTAGTCAGAACTGCGGTACGAGAGTTGAGGTGGAATACGGTGATAACACGGTTGAAGGATCCAAATCTTCGGGCTTCAAGTTGAAGCCCTGAACATGAAGCTTACAAATCCGTCAAAAGTTTATGCAGCTGTGCAGCCATCGATAAAGGCGAGGGGAACACCAGCCAGCCTCAGCTTTGCAGGACCTAAAGAAGGTTAGAGGTGACCGTGGAACAGCGACAAACGTAGTGCCCATCATCTTCCTCATCACGGTCACCATAATCGCCTTCTTCATAATACGGAGTCGTTATGCTAGCCCGACAATGCGAGATCCTAAATACAGGAAGACCTGCGTGAACGCCGCCATGCTTCTTCAAGGCGTTCAGGTGCGACAGACGGCGTATTGGTATGATGCTCAAATCGGAAGACTGCATAGGCATAATCTTGGACGCTTGCGGCCCTGAAGTGTGGATTAACACGAGACCCGCCTGTAGACAACTTTCTGCAACACCCTACTCAATTCGAACGATCTTGGATCGTAAGCCCGTACTAGCCCGTACATCTCCAGCACATACCAGCAGGTCACCAGCAGCCGAAGCTCATGAAAGTTGCAAGCAGGCTTCCGAGTGCCCCCAATCCGGCCCAGTCGCGCATCCGATGGCACAGCGACTTTACCTTTGATACCTCGCTGAGCCTGAACATCAGACCTCAGTTGCCAAAAAGCTAATAACACTAGCAATAATTAGTCATGACATGATAACAATAAATGACTAGTATTTTTACTATTAGTATGATGATGATGAGGAGAAGAAGGCTAGTAGTACCAGGAATACTCATACTAACGACGAATGGTAGTAATAGTAGTAATAGTAGTAGTAGTAGTAGTAGTAGTAGTAGTAGTAGTAGTAGTAGTAGTAGCAGTAGTAGTAGTAGTAGTAGTAGTAGTAGTAGCAGTAGTAGCAGTAGTAGCAGTACTGGTAGTGGTAGTGGTAATGGTCATGTCATCACAAAAAATATCAGTACGAATAACACTAGCAATTAATACAACAATAGAAACAATAGCACAACGAATGATAACAACAGTAACAATAGGAAGACTAATAGTTGAGAGGCTGTTGGAGCCCTGGCGGGTGACACAGACGGAAAAAGCTCTCGTCGGCAACAGCCGGAGTCCCAACATACCCTGAACCCCAAACCCGAAACCTGAAGCCGGAAAGACTACTTAAAGGATCATGGGGCTTGGTAACTGGGTTTGAAGGTCAGGTAACTCAGCGAGATTTAAATATGAACCAATTAATAAGGTTACAACCCTACTTACTAAGTCCAATGATCCTCCACGTAGGTCCTGGGCCAACTCCAAGCCCTGAACCCCAAACCCGAAAGGCCCTACACCCGACATTGGCTTACGATCGGCAAGTTGCTCTGTGAAGGGGGCGCGACCAGCCTGTGTAGGCCAGAGAGACCATGCAAGGTTGTGCTTGACATGCCAGGGCTTATCCTTATCCGAAAGCCAAAACATCGAGCTGCAAACTACTTTTGTCCAACGAAACGAAAGTTTTCTGAGTCAGTCTTCAGCTCGATCGGGCTCTCGCACAATGGGAGGTGTCAACTACGGTTCAAGATGGTCTGCCGATGATTCAACAATCGCGGCACAGCCTGAGCCTCTGCAGAAAGCTCGATGCATGTCGGCAGCAACCCACGGCCCTACATGAACATAGAGCCACCAACATGCGACAGCAGCGGCTGCCCAGACGACGGGCCTCCCTCAACCCCAAACCCAACCCTTCGGTGAAGCTGGCCTTCGTATAGCCGGCCGAGCTTGGAGGCGCCAATGGCCCGACAGAGCGCTTTAGCACCGTCGTGCAGAAGTTCTGGTACCTGCAGAAGCAAAGTAAGAAGGCCAAAACGATTCACGGTTCACGTGCACCTCACAGCTACGAAGCATAGTTTTGCAGCATCGTAGCTCGGACTGCCCGACAGACTAGGAGGTCCCCCCCCCCCCCCGGCAGTAGCTGCAGTAGCTGAAACGACTGCAGCACCTTGACACAGCCGAGCAGCGGCTCGGCATAGAGTAGATGCGCGAGCCAGCAAAGCCAGGCTTTCAGCGGAGGGCTCGACGACGGGCGGATGCAGTAGCTCGGATCGTAGGTGTTGTGCGCGGACACCTCGTGTGTGAACATCACTGCTTGTAGGGTGATCAGTGTGAGGATTGTTAGAATATCCAGTCCTATGCTTGTTGCTGATATATGCAGTTCAATTTGCACTTTGCCTGGCTGGTGATCTTCGTTTCGGCTTTACGCGGCTAGATTCTGAGCTAATGACAGGCTGGTGGACAGTTGGTCTATGACGAGTCTCGCTACAAACAGCGATGTATGCAAGAACGTTTGCAAGACCGACCCAAATAAACCACACTAGCCTGAAGTGCTGCAAGGCTTACGACATTTCAGCATAAGCGCTCGAATCAAATAAAAACCACCCCCAAACCCATTAAGCCCCGAGGTCAAGAATTGGAACTGCTCGAAGCCCCTGTTTTCGGGCCTGGCTCTTCATGTAGGCCAAGTACGTCGTCTTGGAAGCCTCAAAGGTTGCAGGATCCCACCACTTCCTTGCAGCTGCGGCAGCAGAAAACTGGGGCCATCCGCTCATTAGGCCCGAGTGTACACCCCAATATGGGTACTGAGGGGGCAACAGTTTCAGCCTTGACGGAGGCTAGAAGAGTTCCGGGTTGGGCTTGGGTTCTGGGCTTTGGGGCCTGGGCCTGGGTTTGGGTTCAAATCGGTTTAGTTAGCGTTGCCGACGGCTCCACCATGGCAACAGCTGCCAGAACTTGCTGCGATATCTCCGTTGGTTGGCAAGCCCAGTCTGAAGCCTCAGTCCAGAAATTCACCCCAAATACAATACTTGAAGGGAACCCTGTTATAGAGCCCTGTAGTACGCACCCTTAAACGGAATCCTATTCTATCCCAAACCCTCGATTCGAGGCCCAGCTTCGTGTATCGGGCAGCGCCGAGCCAGTGCTTTAGGAGCCTTGCACGGCTTCTTCTGCAAGCTCAGGGGCTCGGGAGTCTTTAGACAAATAAAGGCTATGCTAAGCACGAAGACCTGGAAAAGTTTACAGAAGTGAGCCAAAAGGTTAAGGCATCCAAACTGTAGCACGAAACCGGCATGGAAACCCATCATCAACAACAAAAACAACAATCATTATCGCGGTTGGTGTTGTTTGCACTTGGTCACTAGTCTTGCCATTCGAACTGCTGTTTCTGGCTTCCAACAGAAGGGCTGCGAAAACTACTCGCGGGGAACAGAAGCTTGGCATCCCCAATCCAATGTTCTGAAACGCAGCCGCGGGGCAGCACAGAGGCCTCAGGCACGGCTGCACGGAGTGGCTGGCAGCTCCGCAATAGCTTGGTGACCTGAGGTAGTGCCGAAAACGAAGCCGACAGAGCGGATTATCATCTGAACCCCCGAACCCTCCAGCCTGCAAACTTCATCAGCTTGAAGTCCTAGAGCCAGGTCAGTCGTCCCTTGCCCTGCTGTTCTTAACCAACCTGCTCCAAGAAAACTGTCCCAAGCCGGCAAGCCCGGTGACGCCTGAAAAACAACATGTTTTGGAGCAGATTGGACTGTAGTTATCGGAGGGACATAGCATAGGTAATTATTGAAGCCCTCACAGGCTCGAAGCCTTCTGGTTCAAGCGAGTCCCGGCAAGCAAACGGCTGCAAGTGGCAACAGTCTCCGTGTGGTTTCATGCGAGCGCAGAAGATGCGGGCCGAAGACTGTGAGTCACTGAAAGACGGTCAAAGCGGAATGGTCGACCACTTTATTTTCCAATCCTACAGACTCCTAAAGACCCCGATGCCTCAAGTACAAGGCCTTGAAACGATCAGATTTTGAGTTCGGAACCATTTGCGACATTGAACTTGAGTTATGTTGAGATACCCTGCGTTCCTAAAGGCTCATAGTCATAATCTGTGCATCAAAGGTACCGCCTGGAGAGTCGCTGCCGATGCATCGGAAAAGCTCCGCACAAAGCCAGAGAGATGGATTCCTCAAAGATCAGGGGATTTCAGGGTCTTCTTTCCTTCGAGGTCGAGCCTCAGAGTCGATCTAGGGGTTGATGGGTTTTAGGTTTATGGAAGTTTCCGAAAATTAGGGGTACCTTATTTTGGGGTCCTTGTAATAAGGATCCTACAATTTAGGGTACTACATTAGGGTCCCCTATTTTCGGAAACCCCCTTATGGATGCAGAGGCTTTAGGATTTATGGTTATAAACGTCATCTATCCAGGAAACAGAAATTTCACGGCTGGCCGGCTCTATAACCGGATGCGTCACGAAACCTGCGGATGACCAAAAACCATGGGGGCCCAACCATCCACCTTCACCAGAAAGCCAACAACTGTAGGTTTACGTCGAAGGCTGTTCGGATGTTGGCTGAAGGCCTGTGCATGGGTGATTTGGGTACTTCTAGGGTGCAGAAGGGTTCAGCTTCGCATGCAGCCAGCATTGCGTACGGAATTTGACTCCCAAGCCAAAGTGGGTCATGAGCATCCGGGATCGTCGGGATGAGCCCAGTGGCCCGAATCGAAGTCCAAAGTCAGCAGTGGCGCGGGCTCGATCCCTGTCCAAGCCTTGGCGAAGCACACTCCCAAAAGCGCTCCTCTCTCTGCACTTTGTTGGTCAAGTTTAGAGTTAGAGTCGCCGGTGCAAGCCATGGCTTAACCCCAAAAGCCCAGCAGGGTCACCTACTCCACCCGCCTGGAAATCTGCCGCAGTTCGTGGAAAGCCTTCCACCACCACCAGTTGCCCAAGGTATCCTCCGGAAGGAAGCAACAATCTGGGACCGGTTCGAAGGTCTTCAGGTTTAGAAACACAAAGCATCCGGCACTGCCAAAACTCCACTCATCGGTTTCTGATCAGCTGATACCCTCGCAGCTACCTCCGTAACCTGGGGAACCTTCCACTTTGTTCTCTCGACCTGTCGATGGTCTGATCTCCTTCAGTCTGCTTCGCCTCTGCGCCACACAACTGCCCTTCCTTTGCACAAAGCAAAGCCCAAAAAACCTGAAACGTAGGATGCTGGGCTTTGATCGGCAGGTCGCGCCTCGCACGCGCAGCTGCTGTCGAAGAGACTGCGCTGCCTCTGAAAAACTCCAGACTTTCTCCCAGCCCTTGCAGGCTCTCGCTTCACTGGCTCTCTGTAGTCCATGTGCCAACCATTGCTGGACGACATGCCCCAAGCTTGGCCGAGGCACCCAGCGAAAAGTGCAAATAAAACTCGACCCGAATCCGTTGCAACGCCATGCTTATGGTCCCTTGGGATCTTGTGTCGCTGCCTCTAACAGCCATGAAGCGGGAGGCACAAAGAAGGGAACCCATCTTACGAAAATCGAAATCCTAAGTCCGTTCATCTTAGACTGCGAAACTTGCCGTCTCCGGCCTGCCTGCACGGATGTCGCAGAGGGAAGGCAAACGTCCGAGATGCGAAGCCGCGTCTCCGCAAGGCTCCCAGAAATTGCCTCGCGGATTAAAACATAGAACAATTAGAAACTACAGTGGTTCATAGTTGTTCGGGGGCTTTTGTACCATAATCATGGAGTGACTGTAGGGGGATACCATCACTACGTGCTCTGCCGCAATCTTCTTGGGCATTGCAAAGACGTCGCGGGTGGTGGCCTCCAACAGCTCAGGCTTCCCGCAAGCAAAGACCAAGGTGGGCCTCCTTGGAGTGCAACGGCAACTCGATTTTGGTCTGGACTTATACACGCATGTCCTATAGCTTTACAGGGATCTTGTCAACTTCTTTGTGGTGGGTATCGTTTTACTCTGGTCAGATTCGTAGTAGTAGTAGTAGTAGTAGTAGTAGTAGCAGCAGCAGCAGGAGTAGTAGTAGTAGTAGTAGTAGTAGTAGTAGTAGTAGTAGTAGTAGTAGTAGTAGTAGTAGTAGTAGTAGTAGTAGTAGTAGTAGTATAGTACTAGTACTAGTACTAGTACTAGTACTAGTAGTAGTAGTAGTAGTAGTAGTAGTAGTAGCAGTAGTAGTAGTAGTAGTAGTAGTAGTAGTAGTCGAGGTAGTCGAGGTAGTCGAGGTAGTCGAGGTAGTCGAGGTAGTCGTAGTCGTAGTAGTAGTAGTAGTAGTAGTAGTAGTAGTAGCAGTAGTAGTAGTAGTAGTAGTAGTAGTAGTAGTAGTAGTAGTAGTAGTAATGAGACACAAGTGGCAATAGTTATATTGGTAGCCGTAATGGTAGTGATCTCACTACTATAGTACTGAGACCAACAACAACAATGATGATTCCATCGGATGTGGCAATTATCGCTTGCCTAGCCACATATCACACGGAGAATTGAGGACAAATATGGCCTAAATACGGCGGCAGCATTGAATTGCCACAAGAGACGAACTTCGTTGAGCGTATCGCTTTTGGGGAGGTCCTATCGCTTTTCGATGGTTTTGGCAAAATCTGACATTCCACGACCACCCCACCCTTAACTACAAGTACGGCAGTTTTGAAGGATGCTCACATTGTCATACATAACCACACATGACATACACAAATGGATTGCCTGAGAACATCGAAAATGCGTGTTACCAGCAAGTCTAGAGATTGCCAAGGCTCATCGCAAGTCCCCGCTGCACCCCTCTCAAATCCATGCTAGTGGCATGTGCCGTGCTGCCGCGCTCTCCATAAGGGCTGGGGAGCCGGTGGCATCGATGTAGCGTGTGCGTCCGGTGTCGTGGAAGTTGTTGACGACCTGCAGACAAACTCAAGCGTCGATGGCTGCCGTGCATACGTCTCATTGTGAACGTGCTGCCATGTGCTGCTACATACCTAGCATTGCACATACACACACACACACACACAGAGACATTTTCTCGATTCATGGGCTGAGAACCCTGAGCATGATGCCAATTATTGCGTGTTTGCTTCTCGCTCAACTTCTGTCGGTGTCTCGGGGTTTGCTGTGCACTATCAGCCTCAAATGTGCAACGTCAACCAATGGATTCTACTACCCTCTCCGTGCACGGCACTGCTGGGGGTGTGGGGGGGGTCGCATCAGAGATTATGAGAGTATTCCTGGCATCTCACCTTCAGCACCTGGGTTTCCAACCTTCGTAGGGTGTGCGACAGAACTCTGCTGAAACTGAAACCTTGCTATGCCCCAGTTCTGTGCAGATGCTGCACATCAGCTGTGAGGAACATGGTGCCTTGGCTGTCTCCTTGCGGAAATATTCCAGTCTGTCGTCGAACTTCTCCTGGAGCCCAGGAAGGTGAAGCTTCTAAAGTCAGACTGGCTCCGGGATTCAGGGCTGATAACAAAATGACTTCGTTCTGACATGTTTAGAGAACAGGACTTGTCGCTACTCCTGTCATACTCCTCCAAACAACCGGAAATGCCTCCTAAATGCGCAGCATGATCGACGAGGTCCTCGAGGTCGTGTGGCGCCCGGCTTCGCTGTTCTGCACGTGCCCGGAGCACGTCATCCGGTGCTTCCAGGACGAGGCAGAGCGAAGGCCTCAAAGGTGTGTAGCTGCCAAACGCACAACCGAAGCGATGGGCTGGCTCGCAGCTGCGACTTGTTGCGAAGTCTTCCGAAGCATGAAGCAATGAGGCTCCCCAAATCTCGTGCTGTCCCTACCTTCGATGTTGCTTAACTTTCGATGTTGCTTAGCAACTCAGGAACAACATCGTGGTCAGCTATACTGCACAAGAAGCCTAAAAGCTCTCCAGGGTACTTGGGAACTGCATCCAGACCGTTCCAGAACTGGTAGCCATCATCTTTACCTGATTGGAGTGATGGTGATGCGTCCGTCACAATACGATCTGTTTGATGAAATTGCCTCGACGGATCAACGCAGTGACCACACAGACATATGCTGAAATTATCGACGGACGGCAGGACGGGCCCTGGAAAAGACGCTGAGGTGCGCGGGAAGCCGTTGACAAAGACAGTGTGCGGTCCGTCGCCGGCTTCCAGCTTCTGCTGGCCCACCTCTCTGCAGTTAGCTTTGGGATTACGATAATACATATGTATGTGCATGTATGCATGCATGTGCGTATGAATGTACGTATCTACGTGTGTTGGTGTGTGTGTGTGTGTCTCTCTTAATGTGAGAGTGTGTGTGTGTGTCAAAAAGAGCAAGGCCGGAATTCCGACATGGTGCCCTGGCTTCGTGTGTTGATACCTTCCGCAACACCAAAGAGCAAAGCAAAGGATGGCAAGTTCGAAGCCCAAACTTCCGGGTCCCACTTCAGGCAGGACGAGTGTGGACAACCTGGAACTTGTCGCGAAGGAGAGATGGACCTGGCCTCCATCTCGGCCAGAATGGCATTCATCATCATAGCCTGCGATTACCAACACCACATTTGTTGGGGGTTCCCTAGTAAAAGTATAGTATTATGGGCCCCCAACTCCTATTCTAACTACTGTATTAAGGCTCTATACTGAGCTGCTGAACGATGCCACGACCATCAGCTCTTTTCGGATACTTCGAACCACGATGCCATGTCATGGGAACCCAGATTCTGACTCGGGAACCGCCTGTGGAAGTCAGTCCCTGACATTGTCTGTAGAGCTCATGCTAGTTCAGCTCTTGAGACAGAAGCAGCCATCGGACCCCGCCCTGCAGTGCCTGAGGAGACTTGATCTCATCTGGGTCACTGCGCATCGTGCGCCCCAGATCGATGTGTACACCGTGGAACCTCGCAGATGTTTTGTTCTCGGGAGCAGATGTCCTATCCAGACGGCGGCGCTGTGAATTCTAGTTCCTGACGGAAGCTAGCTGATATGGCAAAGCAATTAACGGCCTGTCATTATCAAAGTTTGCTTCTAGTTGACTTGGGGGTCGTGTTGTCAGGCTCGAACCTTGCCATGCTGACGAAAGGTTGGGCTTCTCCTTCAAATCCAACTCTTACATGATCTCCCTTGAAGTGGTATGCTCGAGGCGAGGGTGTGCACCCTTCTGGGTCTGCTTCAGGGATCGAGGCCAGGCTTTTTGGTCGGCGAGCCCTTGCCAGACGCGGCTGAATACTGAACCCTCAGCCCTCATCCCGCACAGGACCTGTTCGCCAGCGCGTCTCCGAGAGTGGACCTCAGATTTGAGATGTTGTCGGCCATTGCGATACGTTTCTTGAACTAAGAAACATTTCAGCTGTGGGAAAGCTGTGCAAGCTTGAGCTCCGAGTCTGCTTAGAACTGAGTCCGACCTGGCAACAAATACCCGTGAAGATCCTCTCGTCGTGCTTTTCTGCGAGCTCATGCTCGTACGGAGGCTTATATACAACTGATCAGGCTAAGTTCGCTTGAGATCCCGGGCTGCCACGGTGGCTGCTGCCACGAGACTTCCCGCTGCCAGGAGGTCCCATCAGCAAGACGACCTTGCAAGCCTGGCTGACAGACCGGAGACCAGGAGTGATGCAGGGCCTCTTTCATCCCGAACACGGGTCTGGGCCGAACAATCACAAAGCCCGTGCAGTTAAGCTTCCAGCAAGCCTAACAGGAGCATTCAACTCGAACGCAGGGTGAAGGAGAGAGCTTTCGGCCGTCCTCCTGTACGGTAGACTCTTGTACGGCTCCCCGAGCATTCAAACGGAGTCCCGTGCTAATAGCTCTTTCCGAATGCATGGCAGCACTACTCAGGGTTTTAGGGTTTAGGGTTCGTCACTCCTTGTTTACTTCTCCCAAAGCCGATAAGTCCGTATTGCTTTCGCGATTCGGAAGCAAGCGCGTCGAATCTGATTGCACAGTTGCACCTCCATCAAATGAAGTTGCTTTTCCAATGCCTAACGAAACTGCAGGGTTAACTTTCGGAACATTACCAACAATGTATGAATCGAAAGTATCAAGGTTGGGCATTGGATACTTGTGACCCCACAACTAGGCTCGAAGCACCGATCTTGAGCATTTGTAGCCCAAAAGGGGGCTGTTCTTTCTGAGTGCCCGTTCCGGCACACCATCTTCAGCCACTGTCACACCCTCCTGTGAAGAGTGTATTTAAGTACTGATCACAATGCACCCGTATCCAGAACAACCTTCACAAAAAAAAAAAAAAAAACATGGTCTCCAAGGTTTCTCCAGCCACTTTGAGCCTCAGGTTGTGGAGCAAACTGCGGGAAACCGTCTGCCAAAACTGATTGATGGTTCATGGGCAGTTGTAAGAGTAGGCTTGTAAATAAAGTAAGTATGCAGTTACAAGTACTTGTTGACTACCCATGAGGCTTTCAGCACAGCCAGCCGTATTCGCTTCCGAATTGCCACACCGGAGGCCTTGTGAAGCCTGGTGAATCAGTGAAGGGTGACCTAGATTGTGGAAGTGTCACGGCTGTAGTGCGTGGCAGATCTCTGCTGAATCTGGAACACATCCTTGTGGACCGGCAAAGCCTATAGGACTCATGGCTCGGCCGGAGTCTCTTGCAGCCTTGCCAGGGTAAAGCAGGCGCAGGACATGAGCCACAGGCAAATAACCGCAACGGGGATCAGCAGGTCGGCCGGGTCCCGGGTTGTATTCACGAACCGCGATGCAAAATACACCCAGAATGGCGTGCTAAGAGAGTGATAACCCACACAGCCACCCCCGTGACGAACCGGCAGCGTCCTTTGGCTGTGATCTTGCACGAACATGAGCATGCCTCGTTGAAGCATGCCAAGCTGATTGTCGCAACGTAGAAACATGGCGTCACTGCCAAACAGCCTAGTATCGCGTGTAGACGGAGAACTTGTGAGGGGAGGTCACAGGAACCATCTGCGTATTGATAGGTCCTTTGCACTTTTCCGTCCCACCAGCTGGATTCAATGAGCCCCTCTTCGCATTGATGAACGACGATCAAGTGGACCAACAGACTAGCTACAACCAAGGCAATCAGGCACAAGGCCACTGTACAGGTGCAGGGACCACATCCCCACAATTGTGTTGCAGCCCCGCAGCCGCTGCTGTGGCGTTTCTGGTAGCACATGTCTTGCCAGCACAGCAATCTCCAGAGATGATGGCACTGTAAAACGGGAGCCACCACTACCCTCTATTTCTTGGGCCAATGTCAGCTCTTTGCTGGCGGGCAGGGCTGTGAAAACTCAGCTCAATACCTAGCTGACCATAGAAGTAGCCCCGAACCCAGTGGCAGTGGTAAACCTGAAGCAAACATGCGTCGACAGGTTTCCCTGGATGCCTCCGTCGCAGGCGGTGCGGCAGGAGGTGCCGGTCCTGACATGACAGAGACTGGCGACTAGAGATGCTCCAGCCACATCCTTGAAAGAGGTCGCTCATGCACATGCATCCTTCTCCTGGCTTGTTCGAACCTCAGCACCTATACAACACGCCGCTATTATTTTGCAGATTTAGGCACTTGATCCCCAAGATCAATACTCCCTTACAGTAGAAGCCAGAAAGTTGGAACATGGCTTTAGGAGGATTAGTGCTAGGATCCCTTGTACTTTACCTTAAGGGCATGAGGAGTCTGATGTTCCAACTTTCTGGCTTCTACTGTAAACCTCGAGCTGCTCACTCCTGGCGGCGGCGGCGGCGGTGGTGGTGGTGGCGGGTCGCCTGTGGACCAGGTGGCATGTCGCTGGGCTCCTCGTTGCATGCCTCGCAAGCAAGCAGGAGGTGGCAGGCGCCAGGGGCCAGTGGGGTGAAGGTTTGCGCAGTGCATTGTCATGATTGCTGCGGCGCACGCTTGCCGAGAACTTAAGGCTGACTGTTATGTATCATCTGCTGGTTGGAACAGTTGGTCACATCTTGCAGTGGAATTCCACGACCACTGTGCGTCATCTGATTCGTCTTATAGCGATATGCGTCCAAGCAGCTCCGCAGCTCTGCGACAGCAGCTAACAAGTTCTTTGCCTGGGTCGGGCTCGCTTTACCACTGCAGACTCTATCTGCATATATATATATATATACACACACATACATATATACATACATACATACGAAATCTACAGACACTGTGGATGATCGTAGGAAACAGTGTCTAGTCGATGAGCGGCGGCCATTGTCCGACTTTGGCGGAGCCTGGCGCCTCCTTTTATTAATGCCTGCGTCCGAATTCTTAACTCCCCGCCGAAGTTAAGCCCCTGAGCTGCGATCCACAGAAAAGTGGTCCCTCCGACGCTCTTCTTCTTCGTACAAATTTTGGGGGCTTCCGAGTGGCTTGGCCCAGCGGGACGTCGATCTGCCTCCTTGGCTTAGAGTAGCCGTTCACATGGACACGAGGCACGGAGCAGGGAGATGCAACGCGATCTGCTCAGACACAGACATGCACATATGCACACGTGCACGCATACATACATACATACATACATACCCACATACAGAGACCCATTTAGACACACAAGGCTCAGATCTGTGCCTGCGCATCCGCATACAAACGTGCTGAGACAGGTATGCAAGCGTGCTAATCGTCACACAGCAAGGTGCGGTGAAACCCAGCTAGACGAAACCATGCAATAGCCATCAATAGTATGAACGTGAGACCGAGGGAGGGGGGGCAAGAGAGAGGAGAGAGACAGACAAACAGAGAGAGCGTGAGCGGGAGCGGGGAGGAAACAAAGACAAACGGAGCCGTGGTCACGAACCTGAACAAGAAAGCCATGAGCACTAATTAAGATGAGCCAGGCAGCAAGTCAGACACCGAAAGGCGCTGAAGAGCTTGGCCGTCGATGAGTTCACTTTGGAACTTTTCGACCAAGCCTTAGGAAGGTAGGGCACTTTCGCAAATTCTGCTTCCAGGAGCTGGCGACCAGATCTTCATGAAGGTTAGTGCCTGTTGACCACGGTCTGTAAGCGAATGTACCTATGGCCGACAACCCTGGTTGATCCTTTTTCCTCACTCTCCAGAAGTCTCTCAGCCCAGGGCAAAACCCTAAACGGAGTCCGAGACAGTCCGAGGGACCACCGTAGCCGGCATTTTCAAGCCAGCGGCCCACGGTCGCCACATCCCAGTGATCCAGCTCCATGGCGGCCAAAAGTGCTAAGGTGAATACAAAGCAATACCTGCAGGAAGCTGTAACATGCAACAAGAGACAGCTTGTATGTGTGCGCATATACATATGTATGCATATATACATACACATACACACCTACATGTATCTGTGTCTATATCTATGTCTGTGTGTATATATATATACACCCGTACATAAGAATGTAAATACAAGATGTCCACATGTTCGTCAGAAAAACCAACGTTCCTGCCTTGACAGTACCACCACATGAACCATTGGATTCGAATATATTGACAGTATAGCCGTAGCGACTGACTCCGCAAAAAAGAAACACTGATAACGATGCCATGGCGATAGTGAGATGAATAGACATGGAACGGCCGTTATGCGGCACGGTGTTCACACTCTTGTGCACAGTTCGGGCTTAGTTCATACTCATAGACGATATAAAAGCCTGCTGCACGGCTCGGAGCAGATTCGCATCGTGATCAAGCTGAGCAGCTGCACTCTCACGATTCACTAGTCGAGACTGGTGGAGATACGCCGAGGAGCGTTTCTTGGCTTTCAAGCATCAGGGTGCCAGAACGTCAAACGAAGCTGACGGGCGGACAGCGGAACTCCCCCGGACATTCGCAGCAGTCGACGCCTCTGAAGTGCAAAGCTTGGAGACGCGACTTGTCAGACACAAGCGGTGTCGAGCACTGTAAGTGATGGAAGAAGTACCATGTGACCACT